ATAAGCGATCAAAAAAGAATTCCAGTTGTTGACAAACGAGTTACCCTTACCAATTAATGTTTTACGACTTTTCTTATAAATAATTCTCTCATGCTGCGCCATTAACGAATTCGTTCGTTTTAATCCTTTTTACCATGTCACAACGACAAAATAAAAATGTCGGAATTCTAGTCATAAGACCCTGTAAATGTCCCCCATTTGATCTGCCATGATCTTCTTTGCTTGTATGCAACATGTAACATTTTTATATATATAAACAAAAGATAGTTTTTATTTTCCAAATAATTACTATTTATTGTAAAATTTGAACCTTTTGAACATGTCTGCGGAAAACCTAATAAACATCAGAAATCCTTCACGTAAACCATTGCCTGCTTTACCGACAGAAAGGTCAATTTCAAATTTAAAGTCTACAATATCTTTACCATCAACTTCATTTACCCCAATACAAGGTTCAAGCGATGTATCATTAGATAGTATTTCATTAGGTCATTTACGTAATATTTTAAAACAAAGCCTACATAATTGTGCCCTTGATACCAATCCTTGGGAAACTGTAATCTGGGGAATTATACTCGATATCGCCGAAACAGTTCCAAAAGCTATAGAAGCAATTTATCAACATGAAATGAAAAAACGTGATTTCATTTCCTCGAAAAAGAAAAGAAACAATGATAATAATAAACAAGAAGAAAAGGAGAATGATGAAAATTTAACTTCAGAAAAAATTCAAAATAAATTTAAAGATGAATCAAAATTTGTAATAACTTTAAAAAAAGATGGTGGGAAACCTACGGATTCACATTTTGTTTATAATTATTTTGACGGAGAACTTCTATTTAAACGTGAAAATGATGAAGGTAATTCTAAAAATATAAATCATGTTAAACAATCCTTTTCATTTTTCATCATTTTGATATATAACATTTATAAAATTTCTTTTTCAAAAAAAAAATAAAAAAGGTTTGGAATTTACTAAGCATGAAATGAAACATTGGATCGGTGGAACGATAATACTAAAGGGAGAAAAGGATTATGTTAATTCGGTGGATAAAATTTTAGAATTAATGGTTTATGTTGTGTGTAATTTGAGACTTGAGGTGTGTTTATTTAGGGATCATTTCATTTCAAGAGATGATACAAAAGATGGTCAAGGCGCTGAGGATATTCAGAATAGATTAAGAAATTCCAGACGTACTTCAAAATCTTCATGGCTTGGATGGCTGATGAAACATAATAACATGTCAAATATTAGAGATCATGTAAACAAATCTCATGAAAAGCATGGATCCTTGATGAGGAAAACTTCATTCAAAAGAAATCAGATTTCAAAATCATCAAATAATTCGACTGGAGCGACGATAAATACTGAGGAAGAGATTGATATGTCAATTTTAGCTAAAAACAAATTTGCAAAGGCAATTCATCAAATGGAAAATACTATACTTTCATCATCTCCGGGAGTGAAATTTCCTCCTCCGCATGTTTTAATGCGTTTAAGAGATGAAGAAACAGAGATCCGTCTTCATACAAACGAAGATGGTACGTTTAAGTCATTTGCTGTAAAAGATGCTTTGGATTTAGCTAATGACTTCTCAAATGGAAATGGGGCGGCTTCCACGAAAAATTCTACTGGAAAATATCGTACTTATGCAGCGATTACTGGGTCGAGTCAGGTTTCGCAGGATTTCCGATCGGGACTTACATATCTCATGACAAATAATAATTCATTGAATTGTGTATTCAAACATCAGGCATTATCATGTTCTTTCGCAAGGTTTTGGTCACCGACTTCGATATCGCCATGTCATAATCATGAAATAACCACAATGGAATATTATAACAAGAATTGTGATCACCCCGATAGATGCCTTGGAGAAATTATTAATCTATTATGCGATCAAGCTCATGAAATTTGTGAAGATGCATCATGCGATCATCCCGGACTCGATCATATTAGCACGTATACTCACAATACAGGGAGGATCAGTATAACGATTGAAGAATTACCAGATCAAAAGTTAAAACCCTTATCCGATAGCATTTTAATGTGGACACAATGTGAACCGTGTTCCATGAAAACTCCAATCGTGCAAATGTCACGTGCGACTTATCTTTATTCATTTGGAAAATATCTCGAAAATCTAATTTACAATGAAGATTTTGCCCCTAAAACTTTATGTTCGCATTTTGATTCTTTGGTCAGATGTTTTCGCCGAGGAGATTTGGTCGTGAAAATTGGATGTGAACACGTTGACTTATTTGAAATGCGTTTGCCGAAATTGCAAATTAGTCAAGGAGAGACTCCGATAATACATACTTTAGGTGAAGCCGAAGAAATTGATAAACTTTTTGTTATTAACAATGAGGATGAGATGAGATTATTTGATGAGACAAGATTGGAAATCACATATTTTTATGGTGGCGTTAAACAACATATAACAGCATTAGAAGAATACTTTGACTCTTTGTCTCCTAATGAAACGGACTCTAGTTCCAAGGGAAACATTGCCATCAAAGTTAATGGTAATAATGTTGATCCTAGTGAAGAGCAAAGTTATTTGAAATTGTTGGATGATATGGCAAAAGATTTTCGTGTTGACGAGTTTGAACTTTATGATATTCTTAAGGAAACAAAGGCTACTATTTTGAATGATGTGCGGAAATTGTTTGTCGAGAAAATTCATTCAACAAAAAAACGATTGTTGGATTGGCAAAAAGCTCACGTTCGTGAAGAAAATTTAGAAAAATTTTCGAATATTGAATGGGTTGAGCCGGAATATGCAAGGTAAGATAATTAAAACTTGTTATTAAATATAGTTTCATCGATGATCTAATAACTGTTTTTTTTTTCTATGTAGTTCAAGTAACTGCCATGTTTTCCCTGGATCACCTATCATAGTTAGAGAAGATGAACCTAGTTCTATCATCGCATTTACATTAAGGTGAATATTTTATGAATTATATAAATGGAAGATTCTTTAAATATACTAAAGTTTTATTTTAAATAGTTCAAGGGATTATTTAAGAGAATCGTCACTTATGCGACAAAATGTTAGATTATCATTTACACAATCGGCTCCAGTAACCCCCATGTCTGAACATCATCAACCTCAAGTTTCCAACTCATTCTCAACGTTAATTACTTCATTAAAAAGTCCATCCACATCGAATCTCACGTCAAAGAAAGATTTATCGACAGATTCAGAAGGATCCAATGGACTTCAATCTTTAGATCAGTATAGTTCCACTATTCGACGTAAACATGTTAAAGATAATACTTATACAATCCCTCATGGATTTGATCTTGGATCATTTAATTTATCTCTTAGTAGTAAGGAAAAGAAAAAAGATCCCGAAAAAGAAGCTGAAAAACAAACTACTACTAAAAATGGAAAATTTGGTGGAATTTTTGGACAAAAGAATGAAGATTCCGAGAAAGCTAAAGATGAGATTTTCAATGAAAAAGCACAGCATATCAAAGAGGAGCAGAAACCAGAATCCGTTGTTGGTACCGAGAAATTATCAAATGAATCAAATGAAAAACAAGATGTAAATGAAAAGGATTCACCAAAAAAAAAGGATGAGTCAACATTTTCATGGGGTCGGAAAACTCCAAAGGAAAAAGAAACTCCACATTTAAAATATCGTGAGTTTAACTAAAACTCTCCCTTTTTTTTTTGTCTATATTTTAATTTCTTACATTTTTTTGTAGAGTTTACGCATGGAACGAAAAAATTTTCGTGTACAGTGTATTATGCCACAGAATTTGATTCACTTCGACGTCGATGTGGAATTGAAAATTTATCCATCGACTCTCTTTCTCGATGTTCTTCCTGGAAAGTTACAGGTGGTAAAAGTTCAAGCACTTTCTTCAAAACGCAAGGTAATATTATACTATTAAGATTTTATATATAGGATCTCTAACTTAATATGTTTTATATTATATAGACGATAGACTTATTATAAAACAGATGGTATCATCATGGAGAATCGGAGAAAAAGAAGCTTTATTGAAATTTGCACCAAAGTATTTTGAATATATGAACAAGGCTCCTATCGTACGTACAAAATAAACCTGATTATGGAATGTTATATTCTCTAAAATTTCTCTTTTATATATATTTTTTTCTGTAATAAGACGCCATCAGTTCTTGCAAAGATCTTTGGATTCTATACAATAAAGATTAAGGACTTAAAAAAGAATAGCAATATCATTAAAATGGATGTTCTAGTAATGGAACATTTATTCTTTGAGAAAACCATAACAAGCGTAAGCATTTTATACTTAATTTATAAATGTGGAAATTTAAGCTTATTTTAACCACTTTCTTTTTATAGAAATTTGATTTGAAAGGAATTCAAGAACGTCATATAAGAGATCAACCTCAACAAGGAGATGTGACATTATGGGATGGTGATTGGGTTGAAGGAAGATATAAATCACGTTTGTTAATACACTCACATTCCAAAAAGATTCTTCGAGAAGCAATACTCAACGATACACAATTCTTAGCAGATTCCAATATTATGGATTATTCATTATTAGTAGGAGTTGATGGCGAAAAGAAAGAATTAATAGCAGGAATTGTAGATTTTATTGGAGCATATACCTTATATAAGAAAATTGAAAATAGAGGTAAAACCATTGGAAGAAATGCAAAAGAAGTCACTGTTTTACCACCGGATCAATATAAAGATAGATTCAGAGATTCGATAGACCAATATTTCCTGGCTGTACCAGGTGAGCAAAATGACAAGTAGGAATTGTCAATATTTTTATCTATTTATTTAACTATCTATTTATTTATTTCTTAAGGTAAATGGATAAAATCATCATGTATTGATGATCAAATGTCGTCGACTGAGGAATCATCGGCACCTCTATCACCTGTATCAAACTCCAAACATGCCAATCTCAATTATTCACCACCACAAACACTAAAGTTACCCAGTGTATTGTAATAGTTGTTGTAAAGTAAGATGTAATATAAATCATAGATTATTTAATATGTTTATATTGTATGATATATCGTAATTATTTATATATATTTTTGGAAAAATGATATTAGTAAAACTAATTTACAATAAAATGATTATACCTTTTTAAAAGATTTGGTTTCTATTATGAAATCAAAGATGATTTTCTATGTCTCGTGCTCGATTTTAACGTTAAAATAATAGCATTCATGCTTATTTACAAGAAATTAAGAAATAAGATAACCAAATCAAGTTTAAGATTATTACATGAATTGACCCGCCATTGTCGTCAGATAGTATAGTTCGACATTCATTATATTGGAATTATACATCTACGGATATTTTGGAATTTTATTATGATGTTCATGTTGATTTTGACAATTGGCTATTGGCAGGACATAAAAAATTATGCTTTTCTTCAAAGGTACATACGCTTAAGCGGATAAACTCTCCCTATGGAAGAGCAACCAGATAAGAATTGTACCGCTACTTGTGATATCTGGATATTTTTGTATCTTGTACTCAGCTAATTAGCAAGGGTAAAAAGGTTATCGTGATAACATAAAACAGGGACGATTTGAGTAAACTCGCTGCATCGTATGATTTTTACCAAAGCCAAGCCATTGAAGAGATTCCTCACTTTGATATATAAAAAGCTATCACGACATTACTTTCCATTTACAGTGGCACCTTAAATGAAAATGGACTTTAATGCTACATACCTTTGTTTTAAAATCTTCGTTGGTAATTAAAAGAAAAATCTTCATGACTTAAAATGTACAAATGGTTTACATTTTGCAAAAAAAAATCCCTATGTATCAACGATGAGATTGCCATAGGGATGTTAAGGTCTGTGACCAGACCGGTCTGGTTTGATCATAGAACCGGTTTCGGTTCGATTTGAGGATCAAATCGAACTGAAACTGAACCGAGTCGAACCGGTATTTAGACCGGTTTAGACGATCAATCTATATAAATGCCGTGTCGCGTAAATTGTAAGACGCGTTGATCATTTTAACTAGAATAATTTTCGTTTTGCATTATTGTTTGTATTGTACAATGTCTGGCGGCGTAATTTC